TTGTACAGCAAGCAAGAGAAAAACCAAAAGCAAATGTAGGAGAAAATAGGGCATAACCACATAAAATAATATTATATATAATGACATGTTATACTCACTGGATCTGGAGCCACAGGAAGGAGATATCTGACCAGATGGGCAAGTGCACATATTTGGCCTCGAACAAAATCCATCTCCACAGGAATGCCGGCAAATGGCTGTCAACAAACCAGAGGGCCGTTAGCACAAGAGTCGGACGGAGCCTGCCACTCAGGGAGCTTTCCTCCTGCTGAAGGGCACGGAGGTCCGGTGCTGAAGCTCCTGCCTGCTAACTGGAAGGTGGGTGGTTCAATCCTGGCCGTCATTCCCCAGGAGAAAGATGTGGCAATGTGCTTGCACAAAGACTTGCAGCCTTGGGGACACTCCTTCAGGGTCTCTACAAGTCACAAGCAACCCGTCGCCAATGGGTTAAGTTTAGTCTGGGTCATCTTGATAGGGACCGAACAGGAGGGCTTTTCTCCCAAGGAGTAGCTGGGTGGGTTCCATTAACAGCACTTAGCACGGCCCCTTTCCCTAAAGAATGCCCCCCCCCCTCCAAAGGATGTTTTGAGCCTTTTGATTGGTTGAACCCTGGTGGAAATGTGAGGGAAAGCTGAGAACAAGGGATAAGAGTCACTGAACTCTCAATCCAGAGTTCATGTACCCAGGAGACTTGTTCTACAGATGCATGACCGTGAGACCTAAGGTCAAACATCATCATGACATTGTCCATGATGAGCCTGAAAGCCCATGTCTCCTAGTCAGCTTGTTGCTGTCATGGTTTCGTGTGTTGTTTAGTCTATTTTCAACTCATAGCTACTCTATGTGACAACACAGAACGGCCCCATAGCGTTTCCAAGGCGGTCCATTTTTATAGAAGCAAACAGCCACATCTGTATCCCATAGAGCAGCTGGTGGATCCGAACCACTTACCTTGTGGTTAACAGCTGAGTCATTTACCACTGCACTGACACGGCTCCCGTATAAATACTAGTATAAATGCTAGAAAACCCTGTGTAGTTCTATGCTGACCTTCTGGGTTGCTACGGGTCTGAATCAATGCCACAGCGATGGGTTTGCAACCTTTTCTTCAAATCCCTACATACCTTGCACGAGAAACATAAGCAATGCTAAAAGACTACTCTGGACAGAAAGCGCACTGAACTCTCAAAGGCTCTTAGGATGCAAGTTGCAAACCATTATGAAATAAGCTGTCGGAGGATCCGAAAAATACTGGTTTCAATGCAGGCAGGCCGTGCTTCCCAGATTACCCTACAGGACACTGGAAGAAGTGGTCATGTTGTGGGGTTAATTCAGAGAACCCCGAGAGCCCTCTCATAGTCTCTCGCGTAGTCGCTCACCAGCAAGTCTTGAAATCAATCCCAGCAATCCAAATGAATAAGTTGCGTTCTGATCACAATCGAGAAATACAGAAAGGACGAACTCTTTCAGGTCGACCAAAACAAAAACTGGCTGAAATACACTCTTGTTCCCCATCCGCCTCTCCTGGCCAACTTAACGAGGGTGGTAAGAGCCCTTTATGGATATTCATATCTAAATTTTACCTATTATGCTTTTCTGAAGCCTGGACATGATTTGGTAGATACAAAAACTCACTTCAATTCTATAGCGACTTATAGGACAGAGGAGAACTGCCCCCGTGAGTTTCCAAAATTGTAAATCTTTATGGGAATAGAAAGCCTCCTCTTTCTCCCTCTCAGCCATTGTTGGGTTTGAACTGCTGACCTTGCAAACAGCAGCCCAACACGTAACCTGCTCCACCACCTTTTGTGGGTACAAAAGGTACAAGAGCTCCTTTTGTGGGTACAAAAGTGTATGGCGGACATATTCCTCAACTAGTTGGACCTGGTATCCTCACTAATTACATTTACAGGAGAGTCTGGGAATCTGGAAGTCTGCTAGAGCAGCAGACGCCATATAGGAATCTCTGGTCCTGCTGGGGTTCTTCTATGGTCTTCTAGAGAAGCGCGGATGGCATCAACCACAAGGTGAACAGTTCAAAACTACCACCCATCCCTCAGGAAAAAGACAGGTCCTTTTCTCCTTCCATATAAACGTCTAGTCTCAGAAACCCACAGGGCCAGTTCTCCCTGTCCTATAGGGAGTCAATGGCAGCGAGGAAGTCATCCAGCCCAAGTCCTCATTTGGTGTTCCTTTCCCTGTGCCGAGCAGTGAGAGCTGATGTTGACCTCAACCACCCGAATCCAGTCAATGTACCAGATACGGGCAGTCTTGCCAATGCAGCTAGAAAGTACCATAGGGAAAGCCTATTGCAATAAGATCCAGGCACAACGTACTCATATGTACATGATACACAACTTCTAGAAAACTGTCCCTGGGACTCTATGCCCTATAACTCAAACAGCTTCTAAAAAGGAAGTCATGTCATTACACTATGATAGTGGTTGGACCAAGCTAAGGTCTTCTCTCATCTGGATTCAGAAGAAGTGGGACAGTTTAGAGCAGGGAGGTTCGCTCTTCTATGAACATAGGCATGGAATGCAGCTCCCAAGGACCCAACTATTAGGAGTCACCACACCACCAAACCCCACCAAGGGAGAAGATGCGGACTAACTGCTGGTCTCTACTTACGGACAATACACTGGTTCCCGCCAGGTAAGGTTTTCCAGCCAGGGCAGCAGTAGGCATTATAACGTGATCCGCAGACATTGGGTCTGAAACAAACAAACAAACAAACAGAAGAGTTGAGTTTTCAAAGTTTCTTAAAAGAAAAGGAAACTAGCCCTAAGTTAAAGGAGCAGAAAGAATCTCTGCTGATAGAGGAAAAGTAAATTCTTGGACTTGATGCGGACTGTGTACTTTGGGACGCTTAATGCATTGATAGCAAAAAACTAAACCCATTACGGTCAAGTCAACTCCAACTCCACATATCGGGGAGTAGAACTAAGCTCCTTGGGTTTGGGGTTGTTTGTTTTGTTGGTTTTGTTGTTGTTGTTGTGTTTAGCTTTAAACTTCACAGAAACAGATTGCCAGGCCTTCCTTCCACAACACTCCTGGGTGGGTTCAAACCATCAGACTTCTGCTTAGTCGCCAGAGAAGCTCATTTATACCACCAAGGGAGCATCATGTCACGACACCAAGAGAGAGAACCCCGAATGTCCCCTGTTCACATAGCCCACGAGGAAAGGAAAAATCAGAGATGCAAAAATAAAGTATATTTGATCCCAAAGCACAGACATTATAAAAATGTGTGACTCTACTTGAGTCTAAATGAACAACAAATAAACTTCATCCAGCATGGTTAAGAAATATTATAACATAATCTACTGCAACAAACCAAACCAAACTCACAGCCATCAAGACGATATCATCTCAATACGACCCCATGTATTTACTGTACAATGGATGTTAGGTTTCAACTCTGAAACGGATTTGTTTGGGTTTGGGTTTTTTGTGGTGTTCTTTTTCTACTCTGTCAGTCCACCTCCAAAATGTCACCACATTCTTCTTTTCACCAGAATGACAGGAATGCAAACTCCGACTTCAGTCAGAAAAAAGTACAAATATGTAAATATTTCCTTAACACATGTTTGGAAGCACAGTTGATACAGGCAGTCCCAGGAAAATCAGAGCAATGTCACTCTGGGTTTCTTATTTGCAGACATTTCGCCACATGGCTTGGAGCAAAACCTCCATGCAGAATCCAGATGATCGGCATTGCACACCGGACCAGGGGAAGTGGGTAAAGATCTAGCAACTTCTACACTGAGACATGAAGATGAAACGCTAGAACACACAAAGACCCAAAAGAAGCCGTTCGTTTCAGTTGGCGAATGCAGAGAGCCTACGCACTGCTGCGAGTTGCTAGACTTCGGGAGCTGATAAGAGAGGTCAAAGCAATTTCACAATCAGTCCCAGGAACTGTGAGCTATAAATACTGTAGTCCCGCTGCCCTCTGAGCACAAGCCTTTGCAAACAACTATACACTAAAGTACATTTTCATTGGGGTAGTACACACACACACACACACACACACACACACACACACATTTTTTCTCCCTGTGTATGCAGGCTGGATAGAACAGCCCAGAGCCCTCCTCCACCTCCTCTTAATCCAGTGCAGGACACCAACCCCGTACAAGACTGAGTACAAGATAAGGTCACTACTCTTGTCCTTCTCTCCTGCCAGAGAACCCAGACCCTTTTTCTAGGCAAAATGTATACGTCAGGCCAACTGATGCTGAGGCCAGAAAAAAAATAAATAAAAAGGAAACAGAGAATGAGTCCTATGTCGACGATGTCCAATCGTTCACGTTCTTCTCCAAAGCCAGACAGAAAGCGACTAGACAGAGGCTTAATATGTGCATGAGGAGGGGCTTCTCATGTAGTGTATTTCTCTATGGCTGGCCAGGTCTGCATTGTGTGTGTGTGTGTGTGTATACACACATGGATAAATCAAAAAGTATTGCTACAAACTCATAGAAATGTTTATTGTCCAAAACTCAAAATGTGAAGCTCTTGTTCCTCAATAGATGCCCCTAGGTCTATACATCGCTGAAGGTAGTGTCTCCCTCTAACCCTCCCACGAAGAATCTTTTGATGGTGATCTGGAGACCCTCCAAGGGCTCAATCACGATGCTTTTAAAAGTTCTCATAAATTCTAGGAAACCAAAAGAGGCTTGAAGCGGCAAGGCTTCCCTTGAAGCTGAGGCCTGTGAGGCGGACGGACTAAGGTTTCCCAATGAAATGCTCATCGGACAGCCCAGGCTACCCTTGAAGAATGAACAGGTTTATTGCTGTGCTGGGAGAATTAAAAACAAAACTCCTTGGCACACAACTTCTCTGATCTTTTTTCACCACTTTGATAATCTTTAAAACGTTTTCATAATAAGCCCCGCAATCCTTCAGTGTTCTTCCAGAAGATCCATCAAGATTATTCTTCTGGAATTCCAAAGTACAGTGACCATACGCTGCTGAGCTGACCTCTCGACCTTGAATTTAACTGGCCCAGCAGATCCCTTCAGAAGCCAGTGTTTTGACTGGATTGTTTTGAAGGTACTTTAATGAGACCAAAGGGAAAAAAAAGTGGATTACTGAAAGAACAACTTATCTATAACTTATCTGCAACCATCCACTGATCATGGAAACATGTTTAAAGATCAAAGTGTGTATGAATTAGAAGTCATAGCAATACTTTCTGACTTAACCCCTTTGTTAGTCTGGGTAGAATAGAGAAACAAATTCATAGACACTCATATGTGTATAAGAGAGAGTTTTATACAAAGTGTAATTGTACATTAAGAAAGCATCCCAACCCAGTCCAGTCCATGCCCATATGTCCAATACTGACCTATAGAGCCCTCTTCCAACTCACGGAACACATGCAATGACACCGAGTACAGGACAATCACAGGCCAGTGGTAGAAAGTCGTTGGATCCAGTGGTAGTATAAGCGTCTCAGGGCTGGCAGGGGTCTCCACATGGCTTCTGTAGCACCCAGGGCTTCATCACAGTAGGCCCATGTGGCTTCTCCTCAGGGATGTCTTGCAGGGAGTCAGCCTTGTCAGTAGAGAGTCTCCACGGGAGTGAACCAAGAGAGAAGTGTCTCCCGCCTCCAAGGAGGAAATACAGGAGTTCCCAGAATTCTCAGGAGAAGGCCATGCCCACACAGAGGCCTCATTGGTTATATCTTGGCTGACAGACTAGACTCCACCCCTTCACCCTTAATCCTCTCAACTCCCAAATTGACACCAGATTATGTAACTACCACAACCCTCCTGTACATACACAGGCATACACATCCCAAAGATAATGGGCACAGAGATCTCCATTCATGACAAGGGTGATGAAAATACAAGGCAACATGGTTATCATCATGATAGAATCGGTCTCTGACCTAAATTAGCTACTTCGACAAAGGAAACATGAGATTGAGAAAGAAGGGAAGACTTTGCTTGAACTTATTAAATGGAACCTAATTTTTCTGTGTAAAATTTCACCTTACACACAATAAAATCTTACTTAAAAATTAAATAAGGTCTGGAGAATTGTATTACATATGTATGAATTGTGAAGTGTATTAAAGTAAGTGGTTATATCCCTGAGCCAAGAGAACACTGGGAGTTAGTTGTAAAGGCTGCTGAGATTGAAAGGGGGCCCTTGGGAGATGCAAATAATAAAGCATGTAACTACTAATCAAAAGGTTGACAGTTCAAATCCATCCAAAGGTACCTCAGACCAAGATGTGGCAAGCCTGGCCAAACACAGGCTGGGATAACAGGCAACTCTGGGTTCCTCCTTTGAAGAAGCCAGCCAGCCAACTTCTCCAACCTACTTCACACAGTTCTTAATACAAATAACCTCTTAACAGGGCACAGAGAATGACTAGTATGCTGGCTTGTGACAGCTTTATGTTTTCTCCCATCACCGGTGATTGTGATTCCATCCTGTTTTTTCTCCAAGTGTCTCTGTGTCTCCCTTCCACCATCATTGCTCTTCCCCACCCTCATTACCTCTCTGTCCTCTCTCTTTTCTTTTTGCCTCCTCTCTTCTCTCGCTTTCTTTATTCTCTATTTTCAGGTCACTTATAATCAAATATTCTACTCCCATCAGTCTGAAAAGCAATGTTTCCAAGATAGCGCAGCTCCCTTTCCTGTGTAGCCAGTAAATCCATTGCTGGTGTCCAACATAGTACAAGACTAATCACTTTATCCTCAAGCACAAACGAGTCCTTATCCTCAAGCGCAAGTATTGTAGCAGGTAGCCTGCTACCACACACGTTGGGCCCTGTGTTAGACAGAAAAATGAAAGTGACTAATACGGACACACCTGCACCAGAGGGTAACTTCTAATACCATCCTCCAATCAATAACGTCAGCGCTGGACATGGCTGATTCTAGGACCAGGACAGGGGAAAAACAAGATGAGCCTGGAGCATCTTGAAATGACACAAAGAAAAAATGCGCATAAAACTCACAAAACCCCCACAGTGATCTAGTACAGCCAAGGGACACAGGAGCCCACTGGAAGGGCTCCCAGTGGCAAAAGCTAAACAATTCAAGCAACAAAAGTCACAAAGCAGTGGTTAAGACACAGTCTCAGGAGTCCTGGTGTGTAGTGATTAGGCCATAAGGTTAGCAGTTCTAAACCACCAACTGCTCCCTAGGATGAAAGTAAGGCTTTCTACGTGTGTGAAGACTCATACCCTTGGAAATCGCCAGGGGCAGTTCTACCCTGTCCTATAGGATTGCTATAAGCCAGTCAGCTTAAGGACAGTGAGTTTATGTAGGGTCAATACCACAAGCAAAATGCTTAACAGCAAGGTATGTCCAGGCCCTAAAGCAGTCCAGAACCAGGCCCTTTAACTTCACCATGCAGGGCAGATGCCAAAGGACACTGCCAAGGCATTTCTCCAAATCTCAGAATCCGTTTTAGACTGACAGCCAATTTACGTGCAATGGGAATCTTTTACGAGTGGTTGTGTGTGTGTGTGTGTGTGTGTGTGTGTGTGTGTGTGCTGTGTTCTTTGAAAGGGAAAAGAACTTAAAGCTCAGGAAGCCACAGGATGCACTGCACAGGGAATTCAGCACGGCACCATACAGAGCAGAAGTAGCACCGGAATTTACAGTCTGTCACTGTGAGTAGCAAGTGCGGGTTCCTGTGAATCACTGGGCGCTTCCTGTTTCCGAAGCTTACAATCCAACAATACTACAAACACAGGAGAGCCTTGGGGTGGCACAACATGTGAACACACTCAACTGTCAGCCAAAAAGCTGAGGGTCTGAGTCCACCCAGCAAAGCTTCCGAAGAAAGGCTCGATGATCTACTCCAGGACACCCGACAGAGCACCGTTGTCCACTAACACATAAGGGAGCACAAGGAATCAGAATCGCCTTGGCGGCAATTACATCAGAACACAGGGCTTGGCCCAGACAATTAGACTGCCCCTCACAGTTCTAAAGACAGTGACTGTCCCTGTTGCTTGCAGTCTGCAGTAGACCGCCTTCTCTCTAACAGAGGCAATCTGAGTCTGGCCTGCTGGCGTCACAACCCCGGGCCAGTTAGAATAAAAGGGGCTCCCATCTGAAGCTATAGAAGTAGGCGGGTCTGTGTATAAAGTCGGAGCGT